CTAAATTATTACTATAATATTATTAAACTATATTATTAAACTATAACGCGCGCGCGTACTTTATTAGTAAATTAACGAATGTTCAAAATAGAGAATTCTTTATCTTAATCGCTATTCTTCAAGTGATGAAACTTAAAAATAATGCGTATTCGCTACATATTAAAATACAATAATGCATAGATATTAATATATTCTTGATATATTAATAGTTATAAAAACAATGGCATAAATTATATGTAGAGAAAATTTAACTTGAACAATTTCAAAAATCCCAATAGTATCGGAAGAGTTAAGTCTACTGAATTAAAGAAGGTGCAGATCGAACCATAAATTCGTGCGGTTTTAAATTCGATTTAAATTTCGATTTAAATACTTTGATTTTCTCCTGTTTTTTACTTATTCGTTCTGTGTGAGCAATAAAGTGACAGCGGAATACTCTCTCCGATAGAACCGACAAGATTACTAGCGAAATAGACAAATTATTACGAAGATATCATAACGATGATATCGTATCATATCAAAGCATTACGAAGATAATAACAAGTTTCATTTAACGCGTTTACTAACGGTGAAAATGATGTGCAACGGTGAAAGAGTTGCAGTCCACAAAATGTAGAGAGCGTATATTTACGCCTTTCGTAGCCAAAGGATTAATGAGAATAAAAAAAAAACACCACCAACATGTTTTGTTGTACGCTTAAATTTGTAATAAAATAATTAACTCTTTGAAACCTATTTCCAGTTTAACCTTTCTAAACTTGACACTCCGTAGTTTTCAAACGATTGATCGCTTTATTAATCGCTTTATTACTCACATAGGTGGAACAAGTAAATGACGTACGAAACATAACTGTTAGGCAATTTTATTATGCGATAAATTTAATTCGAATTTAAAACCGCACGAACTTAATGAACCAACCTATTTAATTTGTAAAATATTTCACAAATTACGAGGCTTTAGGCTGACTGTAACAAACATTTTACATGTACAGGGTGTCCCAAAAATGTCTCGTAATCTGGAAATGGAGGCTCTTTTCTTTTAATTAAGTTTAAATTTGAAGTAAGGTTTTCCTTAGCGAAAATGCGATCCACGACTTTGTTTACGAGTTATTAACGAAAAACACTGACCAATACGAGACGAGCTCAGCTGGCCCAGCCAACGAGCACACGACGCCCAGTTCCGCTTGTTGGCTTGGCCGTCTCGCGCCAGCTGATCTCGCCTCCCATTGGTCGCTCTTTTTCGTTAATAACTCGTAAACGAAGCCGCGGATTGCATTTTTTCGAAGGAAAAAGTTACTTTAAATGACTTCAGGAACCCCCCCATTTCCAGATTACGAGACATTTTTGGGACATCCTGTACACATATTAAATACAAAACAATATGCACAAGATATCGGCGATGACATGTGCATATTGGTAAATAAAATGTTGAATTCTGATAAACAGCGTTCGCTGTCAGTTTAGTTTCGTGAGAAATGGAATAGCTCCGAGACGAAGGTTCCTCGTTCTCCGGGAGCATAGCGGCTCTCTTGAACCCGTTTCCAGAGCGAAATCGAGCGTAGGCTGCGCGCGCCCTTGCCTCAAATTATTTTCCTTTTCACGAGTTTCGTGGCACCCTCGTGTTCCCGTACTCGCACGTTGCACGAGAATTGCATACGTTAGGAGAGGGATATGCAACGCGGGCATACGAATAAGCCTATTTGCTTCACAAATTCGTGGTGCCACTCGAGACGCAACGCGAGAGAGAGGCCGTCGCTGAACGAGGCTTTTTTTTCGTTTCATCGGCCATTTAATTAAGCAGGAATTGTTAATTTGCCCACGGGAGCGGGATCGTTCCACGCGAAAATCCGCACTTCAACCGACGCTCGGCGTATCCGCCTCGAGTGTTGCACTTATGCTTTATCAGGATTCTCGGATAATACTCAGAATAATCGCGTGCACATATGTAAGCAACGATAAGTCGCCGTGTCAAGTGTCTACGCCCTTCAATTCTAATGCTTCGTTTGTATCTCGCCCCTGCGCCCAACTTATATTAGGTCTATCGGAAAGTTCTGTCCGTTTTTTGAATTGAAGTATAACACAATTTTCATACATTTAATAATATTTTTATCGTAGAATATACTTTCCATCGTTGCTTATGACTTCTTGCCAGCGTGCGTACATTTCAAAGAAAATGGTTTCTGTGTCAACCTTGACACGCAGTAATCAGAACGTCCGCAGTATTTGACTCGCAGTAATAGATACGCAACCGCAGTAATAGATACATAACCACAGACAGTGGTCGCAAAATGTAGAAGCTGCTTAGACATTTGTTTCATTCGTCAACCATTTTCATAAATTGAAAATAATACAATAGTACTTTTGTAAATTCTATAAACGTATTATTTGTAGTAAATGCATCAAAACTACAGCCAATTATTAATAGACTGCGAATTGTATGCATTTGTGACAAAAACGGGAAGATATACATTTCAAACAGTAGCAAAATTGAAATAATTGATTCTACAATCTGTTAAAGTTATTAAAGAGAGAAAGAAGTCCCTGAGTAAAAATTATTCTTCATAAAAATCCGCAGTAATGTCATTAAAAAGATCTATTAATAAAAGCTTCTGGTGTAATATAAAAATATATAAAATAAGGCTGGTATAATATAAAAGACTTTCGGTAAGTACAGTAAATTCTCCCTAATTGGCTCTCAAACTGTGCACAAAAATGGACAATTTGGGAAGAGGAACTACAAAAACGAGCCGCAAGACTCGAATAATTGTCCATTATTCCATTATATTTTATTCCATTATTATTATCTATTATTCCATTCTTCCCAAATTGTCCATTTTTGTGCACAATCCGAGCGTCGTCAATTAGGGAGAATTTACTGTAAAGTGTTAAGTAAGGTTGATTCAGCTAAAAGTGACTTTTCCTTGTTACAGGTGATACATTGCTCGGGCTATCTAAAATGTAAGATAGAAGGACCGGAAGCGGAGAGACCTATTCAAATTATCGTGTTAGTGGCGGTGGGACAATCCTTGCCGACGCATTCGGTGACGGAGATCAAATTATACCAGAACATGTTCATGATTCGAGCGTCGATGGACTTGAAGATGATATTCGTCGATGCTAAGTAAGAAATTCACTGAATACTATATTCGAAATGAAACGCGAATTAACAAGCTTAATGCCAACACCAAATCAACCCCGCAAATTCACGTTCTCGCGCGAATTCACGCAAACTGTTTTATTCGCGTTTTCGTTACAGGATCGTAATTCATTTTCATTGTTTTTTTTTCATTTCAAATATTCTTCTGCTCATCGTCTTAGGAAACTAGACGAACTACTAATAATTAAAACGAACTCGTCGTTTGGTCGAATTTTAAAAAAAAGTTATTGTGCATATTATATTATATTATAATATTATAATATTACAATAANATGCCAACACCAAATCAACCCCGCAAATTCACGTTCTCGCGCGAATTCACGCAAACTGTTTTATTCGCGTTTTCGTTACAGGATCGTAATTCATTTTCATTGTTTTTTTTTCATTTCAAATATTCTTCTGCTCATCGTCTTAGGAAACTAGACGAACTACTAATAATTAAAACGAACTCGTCGTTTGGTCGAATTTTAAAAAAAAGTTATTGTGCATATTATATTATATTATAATATTATAATATTACAATAATATTATTATTATATTATTATTATCATTATATTATTATTATATTATAATATTATATTATA